AACAGCCAGTATTATGTCGTGATATGTTCCATTCTTTGTGCTGTTTTTGCTACTTAGCAATAGTTGTTTTGTATCCGGTATTCAAGTCAAAAAAGTGATTGGAATTTTGGTACGATTCAGCACCAAAAACAAGTAGAAACCCGGATTGAAAACCGGACGTGGCGATCCGGTTTTCAATCTGGTTTTCAGTGGGGGAGAGATGGCCTTGCCCACGGTGCTGGTAAGTATTTGCTTATGTTGATGAGGCCTTACGCAAACTTTATGAAACATGCCCCCATAGTTTAAGGAAATTAATTATAAGGTATATGCACGGGCCATCTAGTCTCTCGATCCATTACCGTCGAGAACCAGCACACTAACGAGATTATTACCAAATTTAGATTCTGGTTTACATAAAGAATCAATCATTTTCACCGATCTTTGTTTGTGCACTGAAGGACAAAGTGCAGGCCGCGAGCCCACACACTAGTTGATCTGATATACAACCTAGATCCTGCTCTCGCTTGCAAGCCGGTTTCGATATTGTTCAGGAATAGTCGTCGGCCATGATACGCCTTCATGGCCAGGATATAAATATTGGTCAGACCTAATATTGATGTGCAATGCAATGAACGGACCATCTATTTCAACCGACGGTGATGGTGGCGGTACCACTACTCTGATATCCCTCAACGGCGACGATTTGATAGCTAAATGTGCCCAAGATCATGCTATACGACTGCCAGTCATTGAAGTGGCATGCTACGTCGACCGTCCCGCTGATCGATCCTCCGGGGGACTTCTTGGGGTTGCGGACTGACAAGAACTGTAGGAACGTTTTCGTCCCATCGATAGACGGTTGATTGACGCGAGTGGTCTGGTATATGTCGTAGGTAGCGCCATTGCAAGTCACTGATCCTTTCCTTACGGCAGCAGTACCTGGGTTATACGTGCCGAAGCTCTCGACAATGTAGCATTCGACAAGGGGATTGCGAGTCCATCCATAGATAGAGAGGAAACTGTTCCCGTTGGGTTTATAGACACCGCTGTAGTTGATAACTCTGGGACAGTATCGAGTAGGTCGTTGAGATAGAGTTGGTGAGCAGATTACTTATATTACCTGGAGCGGCTACCCGGATTCCACCCCCTTCCACCAATGATGTGACCCCCGGACCAGGTCACGCTAAATTCCCCACCAGGACCATTGGTAAAGTTGGCACTACCGGTGCCGTCCGTCCACCAGTAGTAAGGCCACTCGATAGGGAGTCCAGTAGAGGCCGTGGGTGCAGCACGAGCTTGGATGAGGTCGAATTCTTCCA